AGAAATTCACCGTTCAAGTTTCAATAAACATAAGGATTTTTGAAACTAATACAGTTATAAAATTGGAAAAAAAAATATTTACATTTGTCCAAGAAATGTAAAAAATGATGAAAAAAAGATCTCATGTGGGCCTTTTCGGGCGAAAAATAGAAATGTAACACTTCATTATTCATTGCATGCAAAATGAAGATTACTCAGCATTTAATAAAATATACATGAGTTCATGAGCTGCCACATCTGTGTAACTTTTCTCGTTCCGTTTCTGTGTCATATGAAATAAACATTGCCTTTTGTGTTAGGATTTTTTCTAATTAAATCAGTGTCACCCGTCTAACTTACCTGTCACCCAGTAAGTACCCGGACAAAGAAGGGAGGTGACGGGTTCTGCCATCTGCAAAATCAAACCGAATGAATTGTCATTGGTAATCAATTTAAAATCCCCCAACTTGTTTAAATAATCCCCCAAATCTTAATACCGTGCCACCGTTCAAAAGCTAAAATAAAAAAAACCGGGATAACACGCACTGCACAGCAACAAAACAACACTTTATTCTGCTTACCAGTACAGTATAAACAGATATACAACTAACAAACTGAGCGTTTTTACTGCTCTTGGCCGATTCGTCAAATGGCAAATAATAGTCAACATACCTCGAGTACGCACTCGCAAAACATTCAATATAACAATATAAGTATGTCTATTCAACCTCAAAGCCAGCTAAAAGACAAAATACAACAGGTTAGTACTACGTGACTCGGACTGTTTTCTTTCGGTGTAATTCTAAAGCAAAAAGAAAAAACTCCAAAATGGTCAACTTGATATTATTCGCGATACTTTGGCCTTAGAAAAATATCAAACTAGTAGATTAAACCTTGATTTCAAAAATTTGCTTGGATGATTCAATGTTGATTGTAATTAATTATCAAAAAAAAAATAATCAGTAATTTAGTGTTTTAATCAATCAATCTAATTTATTCACATAGAACTCTATGGACGAGAAAAAACAAAAGAAAGTAGTTCAGCATGGTCACAAACGGAAATTAATGGAGAACGAAAAAGATAAACAAAAAGCAGAATACGAAAGTTCAAGGGTAAGCAGAAATTTCATTTTCAAGATTGTTTGTAATCATCAGGAAAATTTAAATTTATCACTTATGCACTTATATCACAATCGTAGAACGAATTAAAGAGTCTTTTGTCACAATATGGCACAAAAGCAAAAGTCGCCGATGATCTTGAAAAGGACACGACAAAACTTCGTGGGAGCATCGAAAACTTATTAGCAAGAGTACAATCGAATAAATTCAACAAGGATAAGGTTTGTTTTTTACTCGTTATATTTCTGCTGCGCCATGATTGCGTCATACTAAATTTACCTTTATTTTTCTAGCCAATTTCACCAACACCACCACCATCATTACCACCACCACTTCAATCACAGCAAGTAATAGTAAAACCGAAAAACACAGATTTCCCGCTAAATATATTGAATACTCTCATAACGTCCATTCTGCTTCCTTTCGACATAATATTAAATATAATACGAAGATTGTTTCGCGGTATAAATAACTGTACAGTAATTCTAGCTTTCATATTATTGGTAGAGTGCTTTATTCTTTTGCTTATTTGGGCGTAAGTTATCAATCATTTTATCTTTGCTATTCGTTAATATGTATTAACCATTAATTAACCATCAATTAACCATCAATTAACCAATTATTAATAGGGTCAAGAAATCGCACCACACATATCTTTACATTGAACCATATGAACCAGTTGTACACGGAACTTTTGGAATCGACCAGCCCGCATCTTTGGGTTTAATGTGGTCGATAGTAAATTCTGTAAAGGACTTTTTTGCCGAAGTGATCAATGGAGGTCGCGGGTTCGGCAATCCTAATTATGATGGCTTCGTGCCAATATAATATACGTACATAGTACATAATAGATCCTCACTTAATAATGTAATACAAGGACAATTTTTTTTTTTTTTTGTTTTGTGTTGATTATGGTAGAGGTTTCTCTTTTTCTTTGTACATATTGTTTTTTTTTGTTTTAAATAGTTTTTCTTTCGATGTATTTTTTTTTCCAATTTTATAACTGTATTAGTTTCAAAAATCCTTATGTTTATTGAAACTTGAACGGTGAATTTCT